CCACCACCTGTCTCATTCAAAACAGATTTGTTTATAACCACCACCTGTCTCATTCAAAACAGCTTTGTTTATAACAACCGCCTGTCTCATTCAAAACAGCTTTGTTTATAACCACCACCTGTCTCATTCAAAACAGCTTTGTTTATAACCACCACCTGTCTCATTCACAACAGCTTTGTTTATAACAACCGCCTGTCTCATTCAAAACAGCTTTGTTTATAACCACCACCTGTCTCATTCAAAATAGCTTTGTTTATAAAAACCGCCTGTCTCATTCAAAACAGCTTTGTTTATAACCACCACCTGTCTCATTCAAAACAGCTTTGTTTATAACCACCACCTGTCTCATTCACAACAGCTTTGTTTATAACAACCGCCTGTCTCATTCAAAACAGCTTTGTTTATAACCACCACCTGTCTCATTCAAAATAGCTTTGTTTATAACCACCACCTGTCTCATTCAAAACAGCTTTGTTTATAACAACCGCCTGTCTCATTCAAAACAGCTTTGTTTATAACCACCACCTGTCTCATTCAAAACAGCTTTGTTTATAACAACCGCCTGTCTCATTCAAAACAGCTTTGTTTATAACAACCGCCTGTCTCATTCAAAACAGCTTTGTTTATAACCACCACCTGTCTCATTCAAAACAGCTTTGTTTATAACCACCACCTGTCTCATTTAAAACAGTTTTGTTTATAACCACCACCTGTCTCATTCAAAACAGTTTTGTTTATAACCACCACCTGTCTCATTCAAAACAGCTTTGTTTCATAACCACCACCTGTCTCATTCAAAACAGCTTTGTTACATAACCACTGCCTGTCTCACTCAAAACAGCTTTGTTTCATAACCACCACCTGTCTCACTCAAAACAGCTGTTTCATAACCACCGCCTGTCTCACTCAAAACAGCTTTGTTTCATAACCATCACCTGTCTCATTCAAAACAGCTTTGTTTCATAACCATCGCCTGTCTCATTCAAAATAGCTTTGTTCCATAACCACCATCTGTCTCATTCAGAACAGCTTTGTTTCATAACCACCACCTGTCTCATTCAGAACAGCTTTGTTTCATAACCACCACCTGTCTCATTCAGAACAGCCTTGTTTCATAACCACCACCTGTCTCATTCAAAACAGCTTTGTTTATAACCACTGCCTGTCTGATCAAAAAACAGCTTTGTAAGATAGTTTGACTGGTATTCAATTAACAGACAGATGACTGAAAATGATGCTGAAAATTTGTCTCTCATAAACATGTGATTGTAAATAAGCATATGAAATGAACGATAAACCAATCCTAGCTGTACACTTGTTTAATAATGCGGAATGACACCACCATAGGTTGATATGGCCTGATTTTAAGGTTTTACCCTTTCTGAAGAAATTTGACACATGTCATATTATGATAGATTATAAGAACTTTTCCTCTAGTTTTCATGAGGTAACATGATGTTTAAAATACCAGAATGAATACTGACATTTAAAACATGTCTTTTCCTGTTTTAAAAATGATAGAAGACAGAGCTTACCTGTATTTCAATCCTACCTCCTGAGCGTTATGATTACCATAATCATACATTTCAAATATCAGTTTAACAGCAAGCGCTTCATACCTTTGAAAAGCTCAGCATATCAGAATGTGACAGTTCACAAGTTGTTATTGTAAATAAAGAAAGTTTAGAGAAAAAGGGAAAGCATTGAAGTAGACTAAACACAGATGTGTTTCACAGCTTAAGAATAGTAGCTATAATTTCAGCAGTATCAAATATTTTTGATTGAATTTCTCTTTGATTGCTTTCAGCACTCAGGGGATCTTTTGACAAATGTGACAAGATTTCTAAGTTATGGTGTTAAGATTTGATGTCCTCTCAATGGTTACAACACTTACACTCGAACCTCCACACCTAGAACTCAGTGGGACTATCGAAAACCATCAAGATAACCAAGTATTCGATTTAAATGAGTTAGAATGTTTTGTAGTTAGTCAGCGACAGGGGAAATGCTTCAAATTAAACAGAGTGTTCCAGTTATTTGAGTTTGAGATAACAAGGTTCGACTGTATAAAGATACTCACTACATCATACCTTTATATGGTCTTGGCTGTTCAAGCACAGGCTTTGGTCACAAAACATTATTACAATGTATTTATCTTCCCAGCCATCAAAAAAAAAAAAAGACTTGCAACAGGTACATGTGGTTGAGAGGAAGCGAAATCTTAGCTAAACAAATAAACAAACATTCTTGGTAGCATTGTTCTGTAGATTTAAGTTGACGCTGTAAGTTAGTCAGCTGTCAAACAAAACAGAAAGAGTGATTCTTTATATGACAGCTGTTTCAATTGCATAATCTGCTTAAAGGACCACACAATAATGCTAAGCCTGTATTCCTCACTTCCAGTCTGTAACTCTTCAAAAAGCATATGTATGAATCAATACATGTACTGATGAAAAAATCAAGCAATCAAAATAGAAATGATTGTCACATATGGATTTATTATTTGATTTTTTAAACACAACATGGAAACATATGTCTGATTCACTTTCCATCAATAGCAATAGGCGGCATATCTGCTCCTGTTTCTGTATACACCAAAGGGACTGAAAATCCAGCAAAAACTGAATGATGCAATGTGTTTTTTATTTTCTGAATTCATATGTCAACAGTACAAAACATAAGGCTTAACAAGAGATCCCTGAGGGATCTTGGCACCCACCATTGTTTGATCTTTATATGTTCTTTAAAAATTGGTTCTTTTCCCTTCTTTCTTTCTCAGTTTTTGCTCTCAATAATAAGAAATTTGAACTTAAATCCTTCGCAGAAAGAGTGATAATAACCTTTATCAGCCAAAACCAAGATGGTCACCATTTTGTTTTTTTTCCTGATCAGTCCTAAAACCAAATGGGCACAACTAGGGACCAAGGGGAACCAACATTTAAAATTTAGAGAGATCCATTGAGTACTTCTCAAGAAACAGCCATAACAAACTTTACTAGGCAAAATTCAAGATGGTCGCCTGTTGGCTATTTTGTTACTCTGATCAGATGTAAAGTCAAACTGGCACAACAAATAAGAAGAAATAATAAGAAATTGGGATAACAATCTGTACTAGACAAAATCCAAGATGGCTTCCTGTCAGTAATTTTGTTTTTCTGATCAGTCCCAAAATCAAACAGGCACAGCTAAGGACCAAGAGGAACCTATGCATAAAATTTGAGAAATATCTTTGCAGTATTTCTCAAGAAATACTCAAGAGCAAGAGGCCCAACGGGCCTGCAGTGCTCACCTGGTATAAGTATAAACCAACCAAATATTATGCCTCTAGGCCTTTTAGTTCAAGAGAAGAAATCGTTTGAAAAATAATTTCGGAACTGTGACCTTGAAAATAAGTAAAGGTCTTTTATTTTTACAAACTTTCTTGAGCTTCATCCTCTGAACAAACCATCATTTGGTTATTGAGAATTGTTTAAAGGAAATAGTTTGAGTCCATCAACAGACAAAGCGCCACAACATAAGCTCCATTGGCCCTTTGGACCAGGTGATCTTAAAGCTATAATAAATTTGCAATGTCAATATCAATAATGGCCACCTCTCTGCCATTTTAACTTTCTGATCATTCCCAAAATTAAATGGACACAGCTTGTGTCCAAGGGGAACCTACATATGGAATTTGAGAAAGATCCATCCAGTTCTTCTCAAAAAATATAGCAATAACAAAAAATATTTACAGATGGACAGATGGACGGATGTACCATGGACGTAGGGCATTTAGAATAGCCAATCATCTATTGATGGTGGGCTAAAAATTTCCAAATTGAAAACCTGCATCTGTACATATACAGTCATGTATAATTAATATGAAATCTTAATGTATTCAATGCTTTTTTGAAAATTCTATTAATAAATGACTTCATAGCTAAATCATACATACCTTTGGCCTATTAAAGCAAGCTCACTTAATTCTACATTACATTTCTGATATGAAAGCAAAACTTTAAACTGAACAAAATAATGCTCACAAAAGTTTTCATCTATATCTATGACTCTCAACACAGCCCTTGAAAATTATCTGAATTATGTGCCATTGACAAGACATCTCATACCAAGATTTATTTTGAGCACTCAGGTTTCTATGTGTGATAAATTGTTATACAAAAATAATTCAATCATCTTCTAATAATAAATTATATAAAGACATGCATGAAAAAAGTTTGTGGAATAAATAAAGATATGGAATTCATTCAGATTACATTATGTAAACAATGATTAAATGATCACAGTTTTTCAATGATGATGTAAATGGGACGGCTACCAAAACATTAATCCTGACTTAGATTGGAGCAATGACCCTACTGAAGGACAATGAATCAATATATGTAGCGTATTGGAGTTGGTTTTTACCAGGCACAGACTTATTGATAGATATCTAACACATAGATATAACAATACATCATATTTACTTAGATAGCAAGCCCTGGGAAAATATTTCCAAAATGTGAACTTTAACAATAAACTGTTTCTTACAAATAGATAACTTTATAAAATCACCTACATATATGAAGCAATATTTCATAGCGGAATGTGTCACATTTAAGATTTTTTTGCATTGATAACTTTTATTCATAAACATCAATAAACAAGAGGATATGATATGCCTTGGGCATTGTGATATTGTAATTTTATATATAACAGACAGAATCAGCAAAAGAAACATTTGTTTAGGAATTTCTAATACTGTTATGGTAAAACTACAGCCATCACCTTCATATCGGTTATCAAATACTTATGTTCAAATTATTTGAAGGGTCACGAATCACTTTTGAAGAGAGCTGAAGAAATCTGCTGAAGATGTCCATCTAGTGGAGACTTCTCAAATAAAAACAAAAAATGTTAAAATTGTTTCAATACAATGATGAAATTCTTCAAATTTAACAGCTGGACATGCCAGATGATAAAACTCATCAACAATTTGTTGCAAAACAATTTATAATGTTTCTCATTACTGATCAGCTGAAACAATTTATTTATTTAAGAAAATAGCATAAAGTAGAGTCTATGGACCAACATGGGTTTGTAAATAAACATTAACTTTTTCCTTGAAGTTTTCTTATCTACATCAATCTGATCAAATATCAATGTCTATGTTATTGTGCTTGAAGGATTAAGGAGTCGCATCATTCCATCTCAGAATTTGAATTTGATCCTGAGAGACCTGAAGATATTCCAGAGTCAATCTTTTCTGCATCGTCTTCTGCTTCACTTTGGGAACTGTTTTAACCAAAAAGAAAAAAAGAAATTAGAAATTTGTAGACTTCAAAAAATATATTCAATTATTGGGGTTGGGGAGATGTGGGATTGTGTGGTGGTAGTATTGGTGGAGTATGGAGGGAGCTTACCTGTCATCACTTTCATCTGAATCATCAGAGTCATCTGAATCTGAATCATCTGAGTTGCCTTCATCTTCCTCATCGTCATCCTCTGTCCCTGATTCACCACTCCCTGAGTCATCATCCGGCTGTGCATCTGTGAAGATAACACAGTGAAATTTTATCTTGGTTTGCTAACTAAGATTTTTCTCATTCCAAGTTTGACTTAATTGTGTAAATAAATGCAACATGAACTTGTAGAATCAATATGTGATTAAAACAAGAGGCCCATGGGCCTTACCAATCACCTCAGATCTCCAGGTCTTAGGACAGTTTAAGAACCTGCCCATCAGTCCCAGCTTTGGGGCAGACAGAACAGAACTGTTATATGCATACTTACAAAGTTTTTATTATTTCTAAGTTTGGAGGCTTAATTTTCAATGAAATGAAACTGATAACAATGTCTGTAGTTTAGATTCTTTGAACATTTAAACAAACTTGGTAGCACTTCATCCTAATATGCTGCTGGCCCAATATCATGACCATGGACCTTTTAGTTATTGAGAAGAAGTTGCTTTAAGATTTGAACACATTTGACCTGAGTGACCTAAAAAGTTACGTTTGATTACAATTAACATTTTAAACGCATATCTTTTAATATGAATAGTGTAAGGATAATCAAGAGGATTTCTTTTGGTCTAATGATTTGAAATTCATGACTTACCCAGTTCAATTTTCTCATTTATCAAAGGCTGAAACTTCAAGGCTTCTGCATTGTCAGGCTCGTACATCAAAACTGCAAATGAAAGAATGACGATATCAACAGGAAAGTTTTATTTTTCATATCTAGGGATTGAAGAAATGAATTCCTAAAAAAGAATATTACACAGACACAAGTACGTCTCTTAATAGAGGAACCTATCTGGTACCATAGATATCGCTGACAATATACTGGGGAACCGCAACATTTTATCTATCATGTAATTTATCAGCAATATTAGCTAACATTTACAAAGACTAGCAGGCACTCACTCATTTTACACAGTTTGGCTGCATTGGGATAGTCGCCTTGCATAAGACATCCGATAAACTAAAAAAAAAAGAAAATTAAAAGTAAATTTTGAAATATCTAATTACAATGCACAAAAAACAAATTAAACAGCTACAAACATAAAAAATTTAAAAATTGAATCCTATAATTTTCAAGAGTTTTCACATTTTTGAATCTACACTTATAAAAATTTCAATAAATATGAATTCACTACTGGTACTTGTCTAATTCTGCAAGTTGTTCTCCGAAGAAGGAAGCTCATACTTATGGAGTAGATTAATGATCATTTTTATCTGTCACAGGATCAAATTCTCTACAGAAAACAAGAGTTTCACTGGCCTATTTAACCTTGTCTTTGCTTTCTTTCTCTAGTCTTCAAAGTGACATCATCCAATCTGTAAGTGTGTTCTGTCATTTTGTTTTCAATTTATGATGACATATTACTAGTGTCATAACGATCATGTGATAATATTTTAAGATAAATTCTAACATGAAAACAACAGAATCAACAGTTTGAGGGTTTAGGTGTAATTTCAGTAAGAAAAAACTACATGGTACCTCCATCATTAGTTGCATTGGAGCTGTCTTTTCACTGCCTTCTTGCCAGCTAGCTGGATTATCCTCATCCTCATCTTCGTCCTCATCACTGGAATCTTCTGTTTTACTAGACACCTCAGTAGTTTTGGGCTTGCTGTCTGTAGTTTTCTGTTTTGATATACTGTTAGGCACAGATTCTTTTTTTTCACTGGGCACAATAAAGAAGACAATCTTTTTATCTCCACAGAACTGGATGAAGATTATTAAGATTGCAAGGAACCAAGGGGAGATAATCATTACTTTCCAGACATAAAATCTGGTCCTGACAAATGTTTATTTAATAGGATTGGAACCTGTTTATTTCAAATGCTTATTAATACTTTCATCTAAATTTCTTATTGTTACTTATGGCATAATGTAGGTCTCAGAAGTTCTAAATGACTAATCTCATCAGAAAGCAAAATATCATCAGTAGGTCCATTACCATAGTAAACCAATTGCAGGTACTTGTGGATATTTTTTTCCAATATGATAAATAACATCAGAATAAATAATTTAATAACATCTAAATGTTTAATTAAAAAAATCAAAGGTAATAACAACTCATATAGTAGCCTCAACGACCTGTTTATAGCTACTAAAAGAGTAATTACTAAAAAGTAGGACAAAATAAATACTTACATTTCCTCTGTACCATCAGACTCCTTAGGTCTGGCCCCATAACCATTCGGTAACTTGACCTTGAAACCTGACACCCGATCTCCTTTCTTAAGATCTGTACTGGAATTATCTCTCTCGAGAAAAGACCTGGCCATCAACACAAAAGAACATAATACAAGTATCACAACCAAAGAAAAGACCTGGCCATCAACACAAAAGAACATAATACAAGTATCACAACCAAAGAAAAGACCTGGCCATCAACACAAACGTGGCCATCAACACAAACGTGGCCATCAACACAAACGTGGCCATCAACACAAACGTGGCCATCAACACAAAAGAACATAATACATGTATCACAACCAAAGAAAAGACCTGGCCATCAACACAAACGTGGCCATCAACACAAACGTGGCCATCAACACAAATGTGGCCATCAACACAAAAGAACATAATACAAGTATCATGTCTGTAAAGTCAAACAATGTCATCTGACTGTAAAGTCATAATGTAACAATGTCATCTGAAAGAAAAGACCTGGCCATCAACACAAACGTGGCCATCAACACAAAAGAACATAATACATGTATCACAAGAAAAATCAAACTTAAATTACTCTTGTAGATAAATAGTATGCTTAGGTTTTGGGTATGGCCATTTGGAAATTAAATGCTGACTGTAAAGTCATAATGTAACAATGTCATCTGACTGTAAAGTCATAATGTAACAATGTCATCTGACTGTAAAGTCATAATGTAACAATGTCATCTGACTGTAAAGTCATAATGTAACAATGTCATCTGACTGATAATGTAACAATGTCATCTGACTGATAATGTAACAATGTCATCTGACAGTAAAGTTATAATGTAACAATGTCATCTGACTGTAAAGTCATAATGTAACAATGTCATCTGACTGTAAAGTCATAATGTAACAATGTCATCTGACTGTAAAGTCATAATGTAACAATGTCATCTGACTGTAAAGTCATAATGTAACAATGTCATCTGACTGTAAAGTCATAATGTAACAATGTCATCTGACTGTAAAGTCATAATGTAACAATGTCATCTGACTGATAATGTAACAATGTCATCTGACTGTAAAGTTATAATGTAACAATGTCATCTGACTGTAAAGTCATAATGTAACAATGTCATCTGACTGTAAAGTCATAATGTAACAATGTCATCTGACTGTAAAGTCATAATGTAACAATGTCATCTGACTGTGACACCATGATAATGAACACTATAATGTTATGACCACTAATATAGGACAGCATTATCTATGTATATAAAGAATCAGCAGATTCACAGTTGTTATTACCTCTCTGATTCAAGTTTCAATGTAGAATTCAATTCTGCCAAATCCACATCATCGAATGATTCCTTTACACTGAAAGACAAACACATTGAGATTTATATGACAAAATAACTTCATATTTGCAGAAGCAAACCAAATGGACATTGTTCACAGCAGAGCCAGAGCAACAGCTGCACACTTGTCTACCATCAGAATTTAGGATTCAAGTTTTAAATACTCTTCCCAATATTACATATAAACCACATATCAATCAGTACATCTTATCGTTCAACTTTTCAGTGACACAGATATGTACTTATTTTCATGTTTAAAATTTTTCCCATGATGCTTCAGGGCATTCTTTATCACCATTATTCTTTGATCCTAGTTTATCATAGCTTACTCATACATGTATATCATAGCAAAGAATATATGCACAAAACAAGACATATTCACGTACTGGATAACCAGCTTATAAAACACCAAGTACATTGAAAGCAGACTTTTGTAATGAATTCAATTCCACATGCGTACAATCGTACTACATAATTTCTATGTAAAGTTTTGATGTGTTGTACCAAGTGATTATATAACACCAATCCACTCTTCCATTTTAAAATAATTCCACTGCATTTATGTAATTCGATGCACTTATATGACCATGTAAAATGTTGTATGTCAAATCAATTTTCAATTTACTTCTGGTCAATGATCATTGCCTTCAATAAATTTCTTAACAGCTCCTCAATAAAACATGATGAATATACTGTTATTCTTCATGCGTATTGTTGATAATGAAACCATTACAGTAGAAACAATCTGTAAAGGATGCAGGCACAAACTGGAAAAGCTGATTGTTTGTATCTTTGTTCCAGGATTATCACCCAGGGTCATTATGAGGTGGGATCTTCTTGTTTTATCTACTTACTACTTCACTGAACAACATACAGGAGGCAATCTAGACCTATGAGTTAAAGTGAGTTGCTCATGGATACAACAAAAACAGCACAGACTGATCAGTTTCACAACTTCCTTGGAAACACAAACCCCACACTTTTACTTCAAAAGTAATCTTCAGGATGTAACAAAAAGTTCAAATCTTGAACTATCAAGTCCGATTGTAATAGACAATTTTTTTTCTCTATAACCCATATAATTTCACTAGCATTGAAGATTTCTTACCAAATTTTTTTTCAGTATGAAAAATTCCATAATGATTTGTACAATCATGCCATGAAAGAATTTACTTCATGTTGTGTTGGACAATTCTGTTCTTACTGAAGCCCTATAAACCTCAACAAGATGCTCAATGAGCCTGAAACACTCCTCTGTTCTGTGGTTTAAAAAGAATACTTTGACAGTTAAGTAAATTTCTGCAAACCACAAAACCCATTTCCAAAACATGCTACTACATAAATATTATGACTTTATCAATTATCAAAATGAAGTTTCATGTTCTTAATAAATTTGACCCCTGTTACCTTGAAAGTAGGTCAAGGTTATTAATCTAAACAAATTGGGTAGCCCTTCATAAAAACATATTACTAATAAGATAGCATGACACTGGACATCGTGGTCATTGAAAAGAAGTCATTTGAAGATTTTAACATATTTGACACACGTGACCTTGAAAGTGAGTAAGTGTAATCCATTCCACTTACCCATCATCTTTCCTCCTCACAGCTTGCAATGCAATCTGTTTAGTTGGCGTGGGTGTGCGTCGGCTGCTGGAGCCTGGTCTACTGCCAGAGGAAAAGGCACGTGATCCAACAGGAACGTTACTAGATGAATGTAAGTGTTCTATTTGTGAAAATTGAGAATCAAGTACAAGTCACTAGACATTACATTTATGCTATTCCTAATGACCTCAAACAAATCCTTCATGACAATACTTTGTGTTGAAATCTTTGATGCATGGTTAGTACAATTTGAAATAATGAGTGTATTTAAATATATATCTAGTAGGGAAATAGCAACTTGTGAAGTGAAACTAACAAGACAAAAAATCATCCAGGGTTTTCGTTCTTCAAAGAATGGTCCTAGCTGAGATATTGTTACAAAATATACAAAACACAAACCACTGTTTCTTCCTTTTCCTGTTGCATTGAGAACAGCTGTCTATATACTAGTACCACATACATCCAACAATAATGAAGCCTTGTCAGGTTATCCTATTCATGCTTACTACAGTAGATGAGTCAACTTTAATGTTTCATTGATCCTTTGTCCAAAATTTAATCAACATATATATTGATTGGCATTGATGCCAGGCCAATATAAAAATGCTGAGAAAATGCCAGAATTATTTGGATATGCCACACTGAACTGTAATATGCCCACCACAGAAAGGTAACATTTTTACCCCATAGGCTTGTTCTGGGATAAATATGCAATACATACCGGACATGGTTGTTATTGTAGTAACCACTAGCATTTCCATATTCATCTTCACCCAGAACCGGCAATTTGTCATCCTCCTGTAGTTGTCGCCCACGCCTGATTGACATGACTGATTTCAAATGTCACAATGCACTGTAATTAAAAGAAAACAGGTAAAGACATATTTTTTGTAAATATCGTGGATTCATATAAAATAATTTATAAATTTACCTTACTGTCAATTATAATGCTTTCAGTGAAAGCCTAACTATTCACCAACATAAATCAATACAAAACAATTATGAAATATCGAAAGTGAAACCCCACTCAAAAACCACCTAACTACTAAAACCGCTTTCTTTCAATCCCAAAAATCATCTTTGTCTTGGTATTGTATGCTTTACTATCAAGACCACTATTATGACCACCTTGCAATTAAGACCAATCCCAAAATCAGTTTTGCACTGAATTTTACCTCACTAATCAACTTGCTGACCAGTCAAAAAGCTACTGTGAGTGTATTCCACAAGATACATCTGTCAGATATAAGATCAGTTAGCTATGTCAATGTTTCCATCAATATAAAACCAAAAAAAAGTTGTACCAATGCTGGTAATCCAGTCCAAATCAAATGCTATCATCACTAACCCCCTGCAACAGCATTAACCAAGTGGGTCTTTCATTAAATTTGGCATCAAATTAAGAACTACCATTGACATATTGTCTTTTGTTTGAAAACATACAAAAAATACATGACAAAATAGTTTCTGTAGACGCTAGATACACTGTAGCTAATTTGCATTTCATAAAATTGATCACATTGCAATTTCTTTTGACAGTGTCTTTTTCCTATTATCACTTCATTACTAGTCTATTGGAGTAGTCTTTAGTTCCTAAAAAATATCTTTTGTATCAAAGTGCAGTTGTAGCCAATTTGGCCATAAATAAGCAGGTGAGAGTGAAGTTGGGAGCTTGATGATGACTGCTGTTCAAAGATGCTGTATCCTTGAGCAGTTACTTTAAATGTTTTGTTCATTCAAGTGCTCAGGAATAGAGTATAGCACAGTCTGGGTTTGGTATCACATTTATGTACTGTGATGATCCTGTTGGAAGCACACGTTACACTCACACAATGTAGTCCCATACTGGCCGTAGTACAGAACAGACACAGGCAGTCACTCTTACGTGTCAAAATACACAATTTGTTGAAAGTAGATACTGAATGCGGTATAACATAGAATAATGATAATATGTACAAATCGAAAGTAGAAGAATACTTTTTTGGGAGTTGTGGGTTGGGGTGGTGGTTGTGGCGTTAAGTAAAATGTTGAAAAGGCTACAACAAAACTTACACTTTCAGATTTAGTAATCTGGTTACCACATCCTCTCCTTAATCATGAAAAGGGCTTAACCTGGCTGGGTAATATCAAAATTATGTTAGATACATATACCTCGATAATATGTATGCCAAAGGGGAAGAAAACTCAAACCCTCAAGTTTTTCCACACAATGAACGATAGTCCGCCATATTGTTTACAAGTAACTACGCATTCAGATATCGTTTTCGTATTTATTGTGTACATGATATTTATATAGACAGATTCAAGGTTGTAATCTTTACTATGTTGTATTATGATAAATTTGTGGGCTTTTTTTTTTATTTACACGCATTTTTCATAACAAACAAAATAACAAACTTTATACGTAACTATGCCTATTACACCGAGTTTTGACATTGATACAAAAAAGTGCATGTTGAAATAGGTAAGCCTTGCCCGGCCTAGGTTACTAGAATCATTGCATTGTAAGTATCCTGTCCTATTGCATGATGTCAGTAGACGTCTTTGGCATAGTTCATCCTCATCGATCTGTTCACAACCCAACACTTGTTCCGACTGCAATCCTTTGAATTTTTCTTTTAAGAAATAGGCTGCACATGTGATTCGATTTACGGAGTTACGTAAGGTTATCATGTATCATTTTCTAAAGGGATCTATGATTTTTCTAGTCATATGTTGATTTAGATTCGAAAGTATATTACAAAGATAGTTTATGTGAAAAATTTGCAATTGATCAGATCATTACATCGAAGAAGCGCTGCTCAATAACTCAAGGCAAGGGGGAGAACTCTTACCATGTTCATGATATAACATGTCCTAGTTAATATTACGGTTATATCCATTTAATTGATATGAAATTATTGTGTTCTTGTGTCATAAAAAATGTCTTTAAATTTTCTTCTCTTACTAGAGACTTTTATCTAGTAAGAGAGCATGGGTTGATGCAATGGATCAGATCATTACATCAAAGAAGGGCTACTCAATAACTCAATGCAAGGGGGAGAACTCTTTCATCGTTAATAATACAAGTATATCCTTTTCATTGATATGAAATTATTGTGTTCGTGTGTCATAAAAATATGTCTTTCAATTTTCTTCTCTTACTAGAGATTTTAATCTAGTAAGAGAACATGGGTTGATGTGGTATACAGAGGCAAATACATTGTAAGAGGATATCAATAGTGAGGACGTTTAAAGTCTACATATGAATACTGTCACTTTGTAGCTTCATATTTACAAGGAATGATCAAATTACAATTGATGTCCACGAGTCCTTTTCAACTTTATCGCTAAAACGAATGGGCCATGCAATGTAAAATTTAAGTACTTCCAGAGATTTTAAGAGTCCAAATTCTATGAGTACAAGACTCCGAATTGATATGTACATTGAACACTGGACAGTGTGCAGTTATTCAGATTGGAACTTTTGGGGAATGTACATTCACTTTATGAGTGCAAAATGGGTTGTGTGTAGAAATTTGACAAAACTAATAAGAACACAAAAAAACACAGATTGATCAACAAAACTGTTGAAGTTTCAATAGTCTGATTTTTAATCAGTGTGGCTGGATAAATAGAATACATTGTCAGTGTCTTAAAATATAAGCTGCATTTTGGCTTGGATCAGAAAGACAAAAGTGGCTCACCTGTTACTTACCATTTTCATCTTTATATTTTAAGACATTGACTGTGCATTCTCTATGTAATTATTTAAAACTAGCCATGTGAGTAATATAAAGAAAGTTAGGAAAAATATATATTTACACTTCATAAAAAAATCCAGATTTGGGCAGTTTAATTTAAATGATATGCTGTGGTTTAATTTGTATTTATATTAAATGTTTCATTACATGTACATTGTTATTTCAGACATTGTACCTCAACTCCATCTTGTTTGTCCAAAGACAGAAGATCAGTTATGAAACTTCCATCAAAATACAAAGTTTACGATTTCTTGATGTTAGCTGGGAATAGCTTCTTTGCTGGGTCAACATTAATCTTTGCAGGATTAACCTTCTATAAAATGTTCCAATTTAAAACAAGTAAGAGTCTAACCAAAATGGTTTATTTTTGTTTTCAAATGGCATCAAAATCTAGTAAAGATCAATTTGCACGCTGATTAGTTAATAGATAGAAGTTATGGAACAGGTGATTGTTATACACGTATATGCTTTTTCTTTCACTCTTGTTAGTTGTTTTTTTAAAGTTAACTTTTGAAAAATAACTAATGAGTGTGAAAGAAATGTCATAACAACCACATGTTAGTGGGATCTGTCACAATGAAAAATCTGTTTCAAGGAGGAATTGTTTTGTACCAATTTGTGTTTTGTTAAGGGGTTAATGATACCACCTGATAAAACCTGAAGTGAATTGCCATATGTGACAATTTCAGAAATATATAGAGGTATTATAAGTTATTCTAAATTAAGTCAAATAGAAATTGAGTTTGTTGTCGTCAAAGCAATTAATTGAAAGAAATTGATGTAGATAGTACAGTTTATCTGACTTTATCAACAAGATGATTTCTATGATATTGGTTACAACTACAAAAACAAAAAATGACAGATGTTATAGAACTCGGAAGACAACTTCTGCCTTTAGGCCTGTTGTGTTCTTTATTTTCTTCCTTTTTATAAATGACAATTTGAAATAGAAACAATCTGGTGATGGCAGAATTTATCTAAGATGTATTGAAAGCTTAGTCATTGACAAGTAAATTCTAATATTGAACTTGTTAAATGTAATTAATGTCTGTGTTGAAATGATAAACTTAAAACTGCACCGTTGATTGATGTAGATGTTGGACTAGTGTTGTATAAAAGCAATTAGATTGTAGATTGTTTTTCTTTTTTAATTTTTTCAGAAAGAGTTCCTGAAATAGAGGAAGAAGTGAGACTATTCAAGGAAGCTCAATTAATGAAAGAACAGGTGGAGAGAGAATCTATGTTGATGCGGAATGTTCAAACCAACAAAGACTAATAATGTCCTTGTCCTATAATTAATTTTTGATAGATTTTGATATTTTCCAACATGGAAAAATTACATAACGTAAACAATTTTTTAGTGTTGTAATATATCAAAATGTTATAAATGTTTATTAGTTGAGAGTGACATGAACGATTATGCTAGTTTATCAGTTGAGAATGATGTGAAAGATTGCAGTAATGTTTGTGATTTTTTGAATTGTAAATATAATGTGCCAATTTGCTGAGTACAGTTGTCTGAATTTTCATGCATAGACTTCCCTTTCTCCAATATTTCCTGTATGAATTACAGAAACCTTTAGAGAACCATGAACTTTATGATCTAGAAACTTCTTTATGAAGCATTATTAAAAACATAGGTTATCAAATGTTTCAGAGAAATTCTCTGATAGGCTTTGTAAAACAAAAAGTGACGAGCCCTTGATACAATGTTGTAAAGGGGATTAAATTGTGAGAAGGGAAGTAACTTGTTTTGTGGACCTTCCTTTCAAAAAAAACACTTGTGTGAATGGTCAAAATGTGTTTAGTTGTTCTATGTTATTAAATCAGAAGTGACAAAATGTCGGCCATTAAGAAAGCAGAGTCCATCTGGACAGGTTGCAATTTCAACTGACAGAAATTGTGTAAGTGAAAGAGCATGTACATTTTTTTAATAGTATGTGTGCAAGATTTTTTTTTATTCTAGCACGGAGAGAGAGTGTATTGAGAAATATGTATTTAAAAAATTGTCAAACTAATTATGTCTTTCCTTGTATTGGGAGAACTTTTCAAGTTATGTACTGATCTAATGAAGCAGCTTATGAAGGAATGCAAGAATGCAGTGATTTCATGTTGAGCTGAAGAGCATGAAAAGAAAAAAAGAAAGGAAAATGATAATCACAGATTAAATACCATATATTTACCCATTAGTAAGTCTAGGATACCAGTATGTAAACTCAATTTGAAGTAGATGGACATATTGCAGGGCAATAAAATTGTGTTTGTGTGTAATTTTACAGAGTGACAAAGGAAAGGATTGGATTTGTTAAAGACCTTTCTGTCAGATCAATATGTTGAATACACTTACTATCACAGTAGTTGTTAACAACAATAATATCATCACATTCATTATTCACAAGATCTTCATAAAATGTCTGTAATTAACATGGCAGAAAATCTGTTATGAAATTTGCTATTAAATGTGATGTTGGATGAATTATGTATCTCTGTATTCTTAATTCCGCTTGTAGAACAGCTGATGTCATTACTGTGTGTCTATTCAAATGTCTGTACTACTTGTTATCATTTCTTTAGAAAAACAAAAAACAAACAAAAACAATAATGTCATAGAGTTAGTCCATAATTTTGGACTTGAGGATGTTCAAGATGGCAACTGTTACATCCTTGAAAAATTTTGTTCACTTCTATTAGAATCATGGTTATATGGACAAGAATCTCCAAAAATATTAAGTAGATCATCAGTATTTGCTCTTGAAGGAAATGTGGACCCATGTGATATTCAAGATGGTCATCATTGAAAGCTTGTCAACACTTGTAGCGACATTTTACATTTCTGAACTAAAGATGTCAAATTGATTCAGAAAGTTTGAAAGAGTTGTGATTGGTCCTGAGAGCCTGACCACTCCAACACCCTAGATGGCTGCACTAATGGTTATTATGTAACATTATTAGCCTTTCTTGCAGATTAGTCATGTTTGGTTTACATGTGACATAAACTGAAATTTGAACTCTTTTTAATATATAAGAATTAAAAGTCTTCCTCCTATATGATTAATGAATCTATAAAAGTCAGGACACCTGTTCTCTTAATAGGTATGACACCACAGAGGTCCGACAACAGTAGAGCACATGTTCTGTTAATAGGTATGACACCACAGAGGTCTGACATGAGTAAAGCACATGTTCTGTTAATAGGTATGACACCACAGGTCTGACATGAGTATAACACTCATTTCTCTTGTGTGTCTTTTGTACAATATTTTCAGTAGTACTTGAACTATAGAGGTCTGACATCAGTAGAGCATCTATTCTGTGAATGACAATGACACTACGGAAGACCAACATCAGTAAAACGATCGTTCTGTCAGTGGTAACGACACTAAAAAGTTTCACACCAGTAGAACACCCATTCTCTTAGTGATAATGTAAACTACAGAAATCTGACACCAATAGATTTTTCAAATTTTAGTGACACGAGAGAAATCTGACAACACAAGGACATCAGATTTTTTTCAGTAATTATAACACTTTAGAAATCTAACACCAGTAAAGCAGCTGTTCGGACATTAGTAAATGACACTACAGAAGTCTTAATCCAGTAAAGCACCTGCGTTGTCGGTAGTAATCACGCTACAAATGTTTAACACCAGTAGAATGCCCATTCTGCTGGAAGTAATGACACTACAGAAGTCCGACACTAGTAGAGGACATGGTTCCCTCAGTAGTAATGATGCTAGAGGTCTGACACCAATAGAACACTGGTGATGACACTAGAGGTCTGACATCAGTAGAACATTTTATGTAGGTCAAAGGTCAAACTGTAGTACTGTGCTAAGCATGACAAAGTTTGAAGAACATACAGACAAAATTATAATCCTGGTGGTTGTCTAATAAGAACATGTATTCCACTATTGATTTCAATAAATCAGTTGAATGTCACTCGTCACATTATTTGAATTGTCAAATTGAAGGTACATCTTTTTTTGTTTCAAAAGAATAAGTTAACAAATAAATACATTCAGTTTTTTTTATTAAGCCTTTTTTGCTCTTGTTTTTTTAATAATTATGTCTAAACATAATTAATAATATATAAGAACACAATGAATTTCTCATGGGTTCTATACATTTACATGACAATAGAAAACTGCAACAACTTTCAGACACACCCATAACACAAATAGTATTGATTAAAATGTTAAGATGTTCATATCTCAAAATTTCTATCATGATCTAGATGTCTCAGATACACAAGTTGTGTGCTTATCTAATTCAGGAATAAACAAGTATTAATCATTGGGAGCTACTTAATGATGAAATATCAAAACATCTTGAGAGAAAAATATGAAGTGTTTTAGTTTTAAGAATAAGGTTAAGAAATATTGCATTTAATTTCACAAACATCTATATCACAGCTGCCTTATAGTCTTTTCTGAACTAGAAAAAAAACTGGATTTTAGATTTCATGAAAATCATCAGTCTAGGACAACTAGAGCAGTTGTTTATGTAAACAATGAGATATGCACATCTACAACAATATATCTAACACTTAATGGGGATGAGATGAATGGCTGTACTTTCAAATAACAAGCAAAACATTTCTTGAATAAAAATTCAGCATAATTATTATTACAATAATTAATATTGATTATTTACCTTAGTTATATTCCATAATGAGGTAATGATATGTATAGTAAACAAATTAAAAAATGTCTTTTTAATATATGAAGAAATACTGTACACACTCTACTTAATTATAAAACAGGCATTCTTGAGATCATTTTCTTAAAATGTAACACTTCGGGAAGAAACTCCAAGAGAAACATAACTTAATATGTATTTGTTCTTTAACTACACATGACAAATTCAAACTGAAATTTCGATGTAATTACAAATGTATTTTGCTTGTTAATACATTTTAGTGTATATGTCTGAATTTAATGGCCAAGAATTTTTTTATATAGAATTCATCATTGAGAAAATGCAATGTTTTCTTTTTTCCAATTTTCTATTTTAGACAAAATGTCATTAAAATATGGAATATGCAAATTCCTTCTGCAGATGGTGACAATGCTGCAAGAGTTCAAAAGACCAAAAGCATCTGTGAAATATCTGAAGTTTACAAAGTATATAACCTTACATGTTAGTGTTAATTTTATTAGGGGATTTTGAACTAAACAGAACATGAATCGTTTCAAAAGAAAATAAGATTTCATTATTACAATTTGACAGATTAAGAACTTGAACATGATGGGTAGGAACCATCATAAGTAACAGAAATGTTCAAATACATGCACCATAGAATATAAAGGTTCAAACTGTTATAACAGCAGTGTTTCCATTCAAAATATTGTTGCCATTTCACAAATAACAGGATCATTATAGTCTGAAACTTTTCTTTCATAAAATAGTATATATCTGACACAACAATACATATTAACACAAAAAGTCAAACAGTGGCAGGAGAAAAAGGTTTATGATAAAAAATCTGTAACTTGGTAATAGTAAAACAAAAACAAATCTTGTTCAAATTTTTCTAATATTTTCATTTCAAAATTTCACGACTAGAATGAAGTTTTCATTTACACTGAAGTTTTAACCATTTAATTAAAATATATACATTTAGTAATTACACCAGACATCAACAAGTACTTTCTACAACCATAAATTCTTTCAAAATATGCTGCCTGCTAAATTAACCATTGCTTTTCCCTTGATGTTAGATAAATCCTTATTTTAAAAATCCTACAGAGAGAATAGAATTTTATCCAGAGTCATTTACAGAGGGTACCATGAGGATGGTTGAAATATTGATGAATATAAATATTGTCAGTTGTAACCTGACTTATGGCTTTTCAGTTCTATATCATCAAGTCATTTATTTTTTTTGTTCAAGCACATTTTCAGCACAACCATCTATTGGAATTATCCAACTAGTTCATATACAATGCAACTTGTCACTAAAACTGAGAAACTATATATTTTTTCACATAAAAAAAGCCATACTACAAATTGGCACATGATAGATTTGTATACGGTGATTCACATTACATATGATATGCATGTATTGCTTGACCGTTTTAATGGGTAATATACATTAATTATTGTTATTTGCACCTTTTTTGTTTTCCAAGATCTGAACACTAACCCTAATAAATTTCTCTACAAATCACCTCACTAATATTTAGCTAAGATGCTCATTTTAAAAGTAAATTTTGGATATGACTTCCAATGTTTTGACAAGCTTTACATTATCTAGAAACCAAAAATAACAAATCAACATCAGCAAGATATCATAAAGTTACGACTAAATTGATGTTGCATCAAATACCATTCATCTTTTACGCTGATAAATTTCAAGACATCTTAACCTTGTATATGATTCAGGTCAGAACCAATTTACAAATATTGCAATATACAAATTAAAAGGCCTGTCCAAAACTTTCAAACGTTTCAGATGTAATATTATCAGAGAATTTTGGAAGTCATCTACTGGTCCACTGAAATGAAACGGACAAAATAATTTTTGATAACAAAACAAGTATGCATGCCTGGCACCAATAAACTACTATATATTTGTCAAGTTGTAGTAGGTCATCCTAGTAATTTCATTCTAATAGAGCCTGTGAATCTCATTCTATTCATCTGAAAATAACCTGCTGGGATAATTTTGGAAAACCTAACGAAGATTTTAAATTCACTTTGACCATTTAATACAAGCATCAATATTTTTTAAATCACCCCCACCCCCATCCCCATTCTTTTTTGAAAACTTTTTTCCTTGATTACAGGCATCTATAATTTTAACATGATTACCACTGTTTTCCCTCGAAAACCTGATTGACATTGGAACAAAAACTATAACAATGTGATAGTAAAATGAAATTGTGTATAAATGACCAACAAATGATCCATGCTTTATAAAAAAGAAATAACATAGATGATTCAAAAGCTATTGAAAGTTTCTCAACTGACTGAATATTGCACAAGATAAGTCAGCTAACAACAGGCAAAGCACTGCATCAGACCCGCAAACCACAAAAGTCTGGTCCAAGTTGCAGAAACATTTCTTAAATTATGGAAATTCATGAACTTAATTTTGTTGAGAAAAAAACATTACTGAATATCTTCCTAGAATTCTATAATGCTTTTCGAATGGAAATTAAAAACAAAGAATATTTGTTTATGATTTAGAACATTAGTGAAACTGGATCAACAACCCTATATTACATGGACATAACTTAAACAGCCTGGTTCATTGGCTATGTATTTGTGTCTCTGTCTATATAACCAAAAGAAGACAGCCTATACTCACAGGTCCAACTACATCAAACAATCACATTGACAGGAGTATCAATATGGTGTACATGCACCAAAAGTCAGGCTGGTAGATTATGTGTATTCTTTAACAATATTGAAGGAAATATGAAATATTTGAGATGTAATGGATGTTGCAAGGATTCATTCATATACATCTAGATGGAACGTTTTTGCATTATAATCTAAATTACTTTCCTTGATAAAATACTGACTTTATCAGTTATTCTTTTGAGTCAATTTTATTGATTTATGCTTCAAAGCAAGAAATAGTTTATATTTTTACACACCTGTATTAAAAACATCTACATTTTATGCTTGCCTACTTGAAGAATCACCATAATGACATCATTTTTATTAAGTTAACATCACTGAAGATCCCAGCAATATTACAACTCTCTTTTTCTTCCAAAAACTGTTATATTTTACTGACGATATTTATAAATTTACTCAAGCTTTTTCTGTTTTTGTTACTATAAACAATCTTTCAAACCAAGCCCTCTTTAGTATGACATAGTGTTTAATTTTGGCAATAAGAATAGCTTTCCCTAATGATTATATTCAAACTGCATCATTTCTTGTCTACCATACAGGAAATTGAATTATCCTTTATGAAAACTCTTTTTTCCTGTCATAGAAAGCAAAAACCATGAAAATTTGGTTTCCGAGTCTAAAGCAGTGCTTATTCAATAAAAAAATATCCCCAAATTTCCTTTACAACAGTTCTAAATATAAAGTATCAAATTGAATGTCTCATGATAATCTAAATATGATTCAAACAAAAGAAACTACTTCTTGTGTGAAAAGTACAAAAAGGGATGACACATGAAATATAATGATGATAAAGAGTATTTGGTAGAAGATTTAACAAATTGGACAGCTATATACCATTACACAGTGGACAATAACTACCACATGTATGAGACACTTAACATTTTTTAGATGTCAGCCTGCCATTGGTTTCCTTCACAATCACAATAGCCCTACTAGCCACAGAAGTGGACCCTTACAATACTGGCTTGTAGGGGTGGGAAGGATATAAAACAGCAGTGTACATGGCACAAATCAGATTATACATACAATATATAGCTTAGATTTCTGGCAGTGTTCTTTTCACAGTAGGGCGAATCAAAACATCATGTAACTGGAAGTCCAGACTCTACCGATCTAGCAACTCTCAAACAGGAAATTCTAAACCATGTAAAAATCATTTTCTTTCCTCACAGTGATGAGAAAATGACACTACTGGAAATCAGTGCTATATAGAGTACTTTGTTTCCCAGTGGTGATGGGTTGACAACATCTACAATGAATGTCTCTCACAACACAAAATATACCGGTACATACTTTAATTTTTTACTGTTTTTTTTCTCCGTTCAAACAATTAAGTTCATCTAAGGAGAAGTCTTTAATTAATGAATGACTTTCTGTCCCTTCAAATGAAGAATGCCTGGTTATTGCTTCATAATTTATTTCATTGCTTTTCTCAAAGAACACTGCTTAAAAATTCAGCCAATCAGTATTTATATCATCAGTTTTGTATTAAAGGAAAGCATCAACTGGAAGTAATGTAATGACAATATTACATTCACTATAATCCTAAAATAATTTTACACCTCCTTGTGAAATTTAAAGTTGGTTTGCTTTTATTTACCAAGTTAGTTTATTGCGGTTTAAGTGGTAAAACCGAAAATGGGAAACAATTGTGTGTATTGCCCCCCCACCTAAAGAAAAATTTGAGGCATTGCTTTTGAAATTCTTATCTTCCATAATAGATTCTGCTATATCAAACAATAATGTACATATCCAACTGTTCTATCTCTGATCCTTTTTATGCTATTATTAATTACTTTTACTCCAGAGAAAAGATTACACGAAATATATGACTGATATATATATGAGTGGCCTCATTGTCTTTAATGATAAATTTGTTTGAGAAATTTTTGATGGCTACTGATCTGCTGCCTATATAAAATGTGAGTGAGAGAAGTTTGTATACCGGAGAGAAACAACATTTCAACATATTTTTTGAAAACCTTCACATAAGACTGGGATATACAATATAGTTTTATAAAATGTTATATCAACACTTAACACGAAATCTAACATGGCATAAAGACAGTCAATTGTGTACTACTTTTGATTGTTAATGACCTGCCAAGATAAGATTCTATAGAAAGTCCCTTCAGCACCTGTACTTACATGTTAAAATGTAAACATCATATTAACAAATTTTGATAAAAAAAATCAGATCTCTGCTTCTGTACTACAAAACCCAGAACAACACCAGCAACTGTCAGCTAAATTCAGAGAACTATATATGGAAATCACAACTTCACTATAACTATATTTATAAAAATTTGACACACAGAATAACAAACATGCAAACATCTATAACATTTAACTGATAATTAAAGGACAAATGAGAGAGAAAAAATAATTCAAACAATATCAAATAAAGGAGTCAACTACAACAGATAATCCATACTCTCTGTTGATACCAAATACAATGTTTATCCTTCAAGTCCTGCCTTTACTTCAGAAACAATTCTTAAACAGAATTATCACAACTTCTGACCCATTTTAAATTTTTTGTATGAAATGAACAATATTTCATTCTTTCTTATGAAGATGCATAGATCACACCACTGAGTTTAAGTTTGTGTTGGGTTTGTGTCTTATAAACAAGCACATGACAAAGGTTCTTCAATCAAGATATAATAATCTCACCACTTTATGAAGGTTTCTTTACATCAAATTTGATAAAATACATCCCATCAGTGCGAATGAACTGTTCGCAGAGAAAAAAAATCTTTCTGTAAGTTCAGTTCTGAGGCCCCAAACATTGTACTACAATGCAATTTAACTTCACTTACATTTGAACAAGTTTAAATCTAATAATGAAGTAAATATTTGAAAGATTACTTACAACTAAAGTCATTAAAATTTGCAGAAATTAGGATGAAAAGATTAACTTTGAATTTAAAATAAAACCTGTAGCTTCTCCCCCTTGCAGCTGTAATGAAATTGTTACCGACTTCACAAAATCTCTAAAACAATTGTTTCTAGAAATCATTTTCATGGTTTCCTCACAAAATCTAATAAAAACAGAAACAAATGCTGTTACACAACAGTTAAAAACAAGACACAGCCTGAAATTTATCAGAAATATTAGATAATCTATAATCATGTCAATTGAATATTTTTCTCTGAATTTAGCTCAATGAATTTGCATGATGTCTCAAAGACTAATCATATTATCAAAGTTCTATCCATTACTTTATATTTCTCGGACACATTCACACTTCACCAGCATGCTCTCCTCTAAGACTGTAACACAACATGTATTTGAGCAGAATCGTTAAGTCATTATCTGCTAGGAGCCCTTGCCTGTTGATGCACTAAAAGGAGGGGGCAGTCTACTGAATCCGGGTCGGACCTGCTGACCCTCATAAACTGCCTGAGACGGTGGTGCCGCAGGCCTGACACCAGTCGGTGCGGAATGTGGTGACCCCATCACTTGATGGTACTGTTGTGTCATGTCCTGTTTCAACTCACTGGGTAACACGCGCTGGGAGCCCACACCAAACTTCAGATTGGCTGCAATGTCATTAACATGCTGAAAAGACCCTGTATTGTGTAGAGGAAAACCATTTTGGAAGCTGATCACATTGGCTAGATTAGCTGGCCAGGCGGTGGTGATATGACCACCAGGGTGGGTAGTTTGCTGAGGAGAGGAGCTGATTTGATGCCCTTTATCTGAAGTGACCAGTACACTCTGAAGGTTATCAATACCAAGATGGTTGCCCACAGAGTTCATATTGGGTGTACGGATGCTAGACACATTCGACACCGACACAATTTGCTGTAGAGGTATATTGGGCATGCTCCTCTGCATGGAGTCATGAGACTGAGACTGTTGCTGTAGAAACACCTGTTGTTGCTGATGTGAGTTGGATTGCCCAGGAAGTCCCTGTCCTGCAGTAAAATTTGGCAGTGTATTCTGATGACTGATAAATGACTGGGGCAGGTTTGTCACCATTGGCGCCCCTTGTAAATCCATTGTCGGATGTGGGAATCGTTGTTGCTGGCTGGCATTCTGTGTGTTCACAACAGTAGAATTCAATGCAACCAACCCCTCTCTATTATTGACTAATGTTCGTCGGTCCACTTTGGGGTTAAAGCCTGTGGTCTGGTACATACTTGTAGCACTACTAACTGTAACTCTAACTCCACCCTGAACAGACCCAGCATTCCTGTTCACCATTACCACATTATCTGGTAACGTCCGATTCATATCATGATCATTTAGACCACCATCCAGCGTTATTCCATTGCACAATTCCCCAGTTGCTGTAGATGAAGCAGGAACAGGAGGTGTAGGAGCAGCATTGTTCACAGGGGCCATGTTGTTTACAGACGTCCCAAGCAGTGATGCTGCAATCTGTTTGAGCTGTTCATCATCTAATTCCATACTCCCATTGGTGAGTGTTTCTAGAGCCTGCTGTGCCACACTGATGTCAATGTTGGCCTCAGCAATGTGACGTTCCAACTCTGCAACATCCTCATGAGTAGGCATCATCGCATCGCCATTCTTTCCTACAATGTATAGGTAAATATACATTAACTGAAGGGGTGGCTGAGATAGAGCCAGTATTTTGTTTTCACCACAAAAATGTGCCTTTGTTTATATGTCAGAACATGTATATTTAATGTCAGACCAAAAAAGGGTCATTTTAAGAAATATATGAGACCTTGATTAATTTTGTAGAGAAATTCCATGATACAAGATTAATGAACCTTATTAAATTTTAATCCCATAATTAGCTATCTGTAACTTCACCAAAATTGAAAAAATTTATACAATATAATTGCTACAAATTTCTCAGAACTGAAATCAAGATCATCGATTTAAATTATTGAAGTTTTATTCAAAGAAACCATTAATTAAACCTTTTAAAAATTATCAGAATGGAAATGTGAATCCACATGAACATACGATATCGATGCAATGATATAGGTTCTCAAAGCTTGAAAAGAAACATTTGTGCAGATGATAAATTTCAGACAATGAAATATTTATCAAAAAATAACATTCAAGGTGACTAGTTTTACCTGAAAACAGATCAAAAGTTTCATCAGGAATTTTGTTGAACACATCTTGGAAGTCGGTCTCCTCAAGTAAGCGAGATGCCTGCTCAAGAGGTAGCTCGAGGCCTTTCTCCATATCTGAATAGTGAAATTGAATGAATATTAGCTAGCTGATATTCAAATTAATCTAATACATGTTTATCTACTCTGCAATATCATCAATTTTCCTTGTTTACCTGATTTGAATTTGATATCAAGAAAAGGAATGGAATATAAGTGAAAAGGTATTTTTTTCATGTGCAAAAGTAAATTGCGAATAAAGATTCAAAATGGGGTAATACATTACATACAATATCTACTTTTAAAATTACCATATTTTTCGGGTTATACACTGCAGAGCCGATTTTTATCAATTTTTACAATTTGGTCCACATATAAGCCACACTGGAATATAAGCCACACCCTCTCTTATTAAGTGGTAACAGTTATGTTGACCAAAGATCATCAACGAAACATTTAGTAAAGTTTGCAAATGAATTATACACTGATAATCTTTTATTTTATTGATCTATTTAAAAAAAAGTAAAATAGCAAATATCAAACGTATTTGGCTTGGGTGCCTTCACAGGTTGTATATGCACAGATATAGGGCCTGATGTTACCTACCGTTTACTAAACAATCTCTCAATTGGTGTCTGTACTGTTAAATATTAATGAAGGCCCTTGCATGCTGACCAAATTCCCATAGTCCCATATTATTCCTTTTTGACATAAACATGAAGCCATTCATATCGTAAACAAGCATGGCGGTTGTTCTACAATTTGACCTATAACCTGATGACCTAGATGTAAAAACTTTTGCCCTTTTTAACGGCTTTTGTAAACTTCTGCTATGGTTTTGAAGAGGTCGCAAAAGTCCAGAAGATATTCCTATGATTCATGATAAAGGTATGATTAATCAAATAAACAAAAATGTTATTTTTTATTTCAATCTTCAAATCATCCTGTTTACGATTGCAAATGATGGTTCTAGACAATCTGTTTCAGTCACAAACACATGATAGGTAGGTACTTGTAAAAAAAAACTCATGAGGAAAAGGTGTGGCTTATAATCCAAAAAATACGGTGAATGAAATAAAACAGTGGTTTCAGTAACTTTTCTATGTTACTGTATATAATATGGGTTTGATTTCAACTTAAATCATAATGTTATAAAACAAACAGACAGTATTGAGATGATAAAAAAAAATTCAGTGGAGAGTTCTTAAAGGAGATACTCCCCTCTAAGTCAAACTGGCAGATACCCGACTAATTTAACTCCTATCTCCCAAACAGTTCTCCATCCTTCAATTTAATTTGGTTTGGAGACGTAAGCCTGTTTCTTCTTCACTATTAAATGAATCTTGTGTTTTCTATCACACTGTCAAGATGAGAAATTTGTTGGACAGGGCAGACTAAATTGGTATATAGGATAAACTTCTGTTTCAGGACTGATAGTTTTGTCTCCCTTTTTACTGGTTTTGCTGGCAAATTTTGGATTAAAACCCATAATATCTTTCCATGACCTTAAATTTCAAACAAATCAGTGCCAACAGAGAATATGATTGACGGAATTTGAGGATGTAGTGTAAATCATTTGTGTTTGTGATAAAAATGAATCACATGCAATATTTTGGGAGAAAAGATATTTGTAATTAATCATTTAAGTCATGTTATCTGAACATGTTGTCCTGACAAGATATACAGCATGAGAATTTCTTTCTCTTGCTGTAATCCTTTTAAGAATCTAGCCTATATTATTTACCTAATGCAGTAAGGGCAGCCTCTGGCAGTTCAGTCAGACTTGGTCTGTCTGATGTTTCCTTTGGCAGAGGCGATTCTACAGATTCCACAGTTTTACTGACTTCTGTACTCTCTTCTGCCACTTTGTCTGGCAGTGCATCAGACTCCGATACCTCATTAAACGTCTCTGTCTCAGAGCCAGTCTGGCTCAAATCTGGATTGGACATTCCTGACATGTCCGCATCAGAGATGTTTCCCTTTTCCTCAGACTCTAACAGACTTGGATCAATAGCAGGCATTTCTACAAAAGTGAACATCACAAATATAGGACATGTACAAAGCCTATGTGATTAGGCAAAAATGTATTGAATTCTAGTTGTTACAGAAAATAAATGATTAATTACTGATTTCGTCTTTTTGCAATGCAAGGTTATTGGCTTTTGTGGGCAGGTATTGACTGTTACATCACATGTTTGTAAGAGCAACCTCAAGGGAAAACAATTTTCTCACACTTATTGATGTAACATTCAATACCTTCTCATAAGAGCAGATAACTCTGAAATACAAAAAGAAAAACGGCTCCAAAAACATACTGTAGATAACAAAATTATTGAAAACTGGAAATGAAAATAATCTTTTTTCAGACTATAAAGAAACAAGGTATTAGAAACTTTCTGTAGGAGGCTACAATATGCTTGTGTTAGTATCGTTGTGATAGTAGAGAAGTGATGCTGACTTTGGTCGCTTTCAACCAAACTGAAATAGTTCAGGTCATCTGGAATTAGCCCATTATATACTGACACACATAAACCGAATGTTGAAACTGTTATATGTAAAGCTCAAAATTCACACTTTCGTAATTTCGAGTCAGACATAAACCAATGACCTTAAAATAAGATACCATCCATTGAACTTTTACTTAATAGCATAACACTTCCAGAAATATATGCTAAAATGTATGATATTCAGCAAGTTAGTTTTGGACAGGTACAGCTGGACCATTCTTTTTACACCTGCTGAATATTCCACAGTCCAGCCTCAGTCCCGATCAGTGGTGTACCTGATCTTTTTCTTGCAGGTTCAACTGTCCTTTTTAACCACTTACATGAAAAAAGACCTTTATACTGCCATCACATTGAAATATAATGTCAAAGATAACTGGCTGAACACTATCCAGACACAATTATACAAACTTTAAGTAAGAAGTAGTAGCTACCATTTTCCAAGAGTTAAAGCCAGGGGATGGAATAAAGTTACAGGTGTGAACTGACAGCTGTAGCTGTGAGGGTGTGTTAAGTGTGAATTAACAGTGGTAAATATGAAGCAGTGTCAAATATGAACTGACTGCAGTAGATGACAAATGCTATTTAACGTATGTATTCTTTTATGGTTTTGTAATAGAAGCAAAATGAAAATCGCTGACAAGCCTTTGTAAATTATGTAATTGACAAAAGTAGTCTGACATCACATTAGTTTTAAACAGTATATCAGAGCTAATTCACAAGAAATGCATCAGTGGAATAAAAGGCAGCATCACAAAAATCAGCCTTAGATCGTATCAAAACATCATGTGCATTCAGTGACATTTCCTAGAAATAACTACAGTAGAAATGTATTAATGGACTATGGAAGGCACCTTTGATTCAATGACCTATGCACCATTTACCAAATACATCCACTTTTCACAATTTCCGTATTAAATGTTGATAATTTTACATAAGTTTTACAGGAAATAATCTGTTGTGCTTCACTATTTTAAGGTACCTGTAAATGTCTAAAGTTAATGTCTTAAAAGGAATTGAACTTAAAAACTTTTTCTGGTTCTCCAAAAGTACTGTCAGCATGATACCAAAGCGCTTGTATTTGAGCTGTTACACACTTCAAGTTATGCTTCACGAGATAAATAGCTGAAAAATCATGTGATTTGATGATATTATTTTCATCTACACTTTTGGTACATATCTAAAATTATTTCATTTCACATGCAATTTTCTGATGTTAAAAAATGGGCTATGACACAGTTTTAATGCACGTCACTTTTAAGAAAATCTTGAATGAATTGAAATTCCTTTTAATGAGTTTTGAAATTGAAACCTTAACAGTTTCAACGATATAAATAAATGAAATTTTCTCATTATTCTCTATCCATCCCACTGATGTAGGTGTTTGTTTGATGTAAAAAAGACTTCCTCAATGAACAGGTGTTCAAACAACATTCCGCTTCAGTTTATACCACGTTTTAATTTGAAAACAATTGTACTTGTACAAGCATGTGTTCATTGATTTGACAAATATTACTGAAAATAAACTACTAAGAATGCATCAGTAATATAAAGACGACATCACAGAAGTCAGCCTTAGATCGTATCATAACATCATGTGCATTCAATTATTTATTTAGTATTTAAAACAATAGCATTAATAAAAAACATGTCATTGACAATAAACATATACAGAACTTACCTGTCAAACCAGTTGGTTCAGATGGTGGAGACGGTTTTTGTGGACGGATATTTTTCCTCTGATTCTTCTTCTTTTTGCCTTTCTTTGGTGGCCTTGTTAGAGCAGATGGCTTTGTCTTTTTCCTCGGCCGTTTTGGTTTAAATTCAGTATCTCCATCCAAATACGTGTCCTGTAGGTAGTTAGAGGAATCAATATCTACGAGATTCAAATCTTGTACAATAGGAAAGACTACTATTAGAAAATATTAAGTCCAATCGCTTTTAAAACATTGAACAAGAATCTACAAACCAGATTTCCATATTCCTTGTGTTTGATTTGTATTAGTAAGCAACTGAAACATGAAGGTTTAACATCACAGAAAATGAATAATATCTTTGTGTTATTTGAAAAGGTTCCTGGTGATGGAATTTCAAAAGTTACCACCTTTTCAGATAGAAGTTTAAGATTGTATTTAACAATTATTAGAGAATCACAGAAATCTCAACAGATATAAAAAAGAAATAATGTCTTTCAAACATATAAAGGTTTACCAAAAAAAAAAAAAAAAAGCCACTAAAGTCTTGGATGTCTATTTCTATGGTATTCATAAACCCACTTACAGCTTTGAGACCATGCTCCATACAAAGTGGGAGTTCATGTTTGAAGTCATTGACAGGAACACAACACTGGGTGTTGTCAGCAAACTTTGCTGTGCAGTAGTCAAACAATTGTTGATCGACATTATACATAATATCTGAAGTTTGGAGTCAAGGGAAAATTAACACTCATGCAAATTTACAGCATTCACCATTTCAGTACACCATGATGTTCAAACATGCCTAGAATAACCTTAAAATCAGAAAGTGACTTCATGCTATATTATCATCAAGCAAAACTTTAGATTACCTAAATCAAGCAATCTGCCATTCAAATTTGTACCCATATCTATACTGAATAAGTACTTCAAAGAATCTTGCATTTCCAAAAATATCAATGCTGTCTTCAAATTAATATCAACATCAACATCAACAAAGATATGATGCAACAGTGCCTCTATCTTAAACTGACAGTCATGTGAATGGAATCAGTGATGATAGCAGATAATTTCTTTCAATATATATCACTTCAACAACATTTTGAGGGACCGAACCAAACAATATTTCTGAGGATTTGGATCAGCTGGTTATAAATGAGATATTTCTATGATTACAAGATTTCTCTGACAGATCAGCTAATAAATGTCAACAGGTATCTAAGATCTCAAATTTATCTAAAAACTCTCTGTAAAGGGTTCAGATATCAGTTAGATCACAGATATACACATATTTCTTCCAAATTGTGTAAAAATTCTTAAATCTTGTTCTGTTAAGCAAGTTGATAAAAGGATACGTTTCAAACAGTGGTTGGCATAGGGTAAGACATCATTTTCACACTGGACCTCCTCGTCATTCTTATGGCAGCACTGTCTCTCCACAAGTCCTCTCACTTTGTATCTACAAATGTAAAATATACTGCATCAAATGATTGCAATGGTAGTTGTTGCTTATCTTAAAATTACATAATCTTGAAGTGTACATTATTCTGTTACTTTTTTCAAAAACCTTTGTGATGAAAATTAGAGATTTTTTTTCATCTGAAGACAAATATATAAACAAAGGGTGATCAAGCATTCCTCATGTGGAACTTAACAGTAGTGTCCTCGGCTGGATCCATATAGGATTCAATAAAGTAGTGTCCTCAGGTGGGTCCATATAAGACTGGAAATACAAGTCATCAATGGGCACACAGCTTCAAATTTCCTTGGGGATGAGACAGAGATCAGTTGTTAATCTCTTATGTCCAGCAATGCTATTAAGTTATGGGATGGTCATTTCAATGGCTTCAGAGATATAATCTGTCCTGGGGTAGGACCAGACCCCAGGACAAATTACAAGTCATGATTGTCTTCTGATGCTCAGTAATGCTACATTTATTTAGTGGGGATCACAACTGTTTCAAAGAACCAAAGATCGAAATGAATAGTTGATGCTGCAAAGCAACGATGTGAAAATGAACCAAATCTACTTGGCAGTTACATTTTCCCTTTTGGGCCCTGGCCATCTGGCCCCAGGGGGCTGAAACCTATGCTTTATTCAAAACTTTCTGATTTCACTTAGCCCAAGCATACTTCTGACCCAGTATGATCAATATCCTGCAATTCCTGGAGAAGAAGATATATTTTACAGAAATTGATAGATTTTCCCTGATGGGCTCACACCCCTGGATTACCAAACCTCTGGGCCAGGTGAGCTAAAAACCAAATACACCAATCAGTGGGGCTTACTCATCAGTTTTTCTTATCACAAAAGCCCCTCATCAGTTTTTCTCATCACAAATGTATCCTTAAGTTTCATAAAAAAAATATATCAGTTTCTATCATCCATCTTTTCTATTATCAGAACCTCATGCAACATTTTTGTTCTATCATTAACTTACATATCGACTGGTGGGGTTTCATAGCAATTTATTTCATGTAAAGCTTTCACAGCAGATCTGGATTCCTCACGAGCGGCTTCTATCAGACCCAGGGTTGCAGTCTTCTGTCGCAGTCGCTCTGAGGTATTGGCACGGTAAGATTTGCGGGATTGGAAACATCTACGTCTCAACCTCGCGCGAATTAAAGCTAGCTTTGCTGTTCTCAGAGAATCATCTTGGCTGTTAAACAGAAATCAAAATAACATTAATGTTCACTTAATATGTATATATTACACAAATGGAGTAAAGTTGTCAAAGGTGTTTGCATAGATAACCTTTTACATTAACAAATGATGAAACAATTTCAAAATCAAATGAACCCAAGCAACTGTAAAACCATTTTTCCTTGTTTGGTCTCTTTTTGAAGCTGGTGGCTACACCATTGAACTGGGGAGCATGTTACACTCTATCAGGAGCAATTTGGATAAAAGTGTTTTGTCATTACAGAAAGAGCTGTGATCCCAGCTTCCAAAGAAACATGAACTGTCCTTCGTATATAACAAACCACACATCTCAGATCTTCACCTGAGGTAGCATTAGTCTAACAACTCAGCTTTCTAGGCCTAACACTACAGTTTTAATGTTACATCACACTGATCATATATTACAAGGTTCATACATGAATATCTCTTTGAAATTTAAAGCCTTTTAATGCTGTACAAACACTCTATCAAGTAGATCTGCCTCAATCAGATAAATGCATATTTTACACTGGCTGGACTTACTCATCATCATCCTCATTTGCTTCCTCGTCAGATGATACTGTAAACCACTCTGGTTGCCATGGCAACAAATCATCATTTTCATCATCACTAGCCTCCTCGTCTGAACTTCTTATATCTAGAAGGATGATTGACAGATGAACTATCATTAATATATATAGGATTTACTTCAGTATAGTTAGATTTACTAGCATACTTGCATGATGGAAATCAAAACACTTTTAAATTACATTCAAAAAGACTAGTGCAAATAAGACTAATTCATTTTTATGTCTTGGGATGGGTATTTTTCACATCTATACTTGTAAAGGTCTAACAGTGTATTTTCAATTAACTGATAAACAATGAATTGTTGATATTGTTCTATCAATATGAAGAAATTAATTCACTTGTTGAAGCAAAAATCAATGTAAAACACCACATACAAATAGTATTTCCATCAAGTAAAGTCATAATTAACGATTGAAAAATAAGGCTTTTCCCTATGAATTACATAAACTCATATGAGAAAATTTCTTGGCAGTGATGAACAATAATAAGTAATGCTACATATTTTGAGGTGATGGCAATCTCTTGAGCAGATTGTTTTTTATAATTGTATAATTCACACTAAATGGACTTATTTTGTACCAACCTGAACCAAGAAAGCTGTGGTTCTGCATTTTCCATCTGACATAGTTCAAATAGTACTGGATAGCTGCCTTCTTTTCGTGGAGCCTCTTAGACACATCTGCTTCAGGTAGTACATGTTTGAGCGAGTGAGGTTTCATCAAAGCCTCTGGAGAAAATAACTTGGATATCACAGGAGCACTTATAGACCACGTCTTAGGCTTGGACTTTGATCTCTTTGTAACTGTTGGGGGTTTAGGAGTAGCACATACTGTAGAGGAGTAAGGGGGAGGTGGGGGAAGCTCTCTTGCTTGCCCAGTTTGTAACACTGCCTCTGGATGTACAGAAGATGAATTTACTGTCACTGTTGGTGACATGAACATACTTGTTGACACAGTTGGTAACGTCACTGATGGAGCAATTGTCATGGAAACACTTGCTGGATACTTTCTGTAGGGAGGTGGAGGAGGGGGTAAAGGCTGTGCATTCATTGGAGGAGGCTGTACCTCCCTTTGAGGAGGGAGGTGAGGATGGGAAGGATGGGAGGGATGGTGGTGAGGATATAGGTGTGGAGATGGCATGGATACTGGAGTTGGTGTAACCATATTGTTTAACTGATGATGATGCTGAGAATGGGAAGAAAGACTTTGCAGAGGTAGTGTGCTTGTAGGAATTGGGAAGTGATCTGAAGGTTCTTGCTGTAGGTTGTGCAACACTGGCCCAACTTTCTCCATGTGTGGTATTGGGGGAGCATGATGCACCCGTGAGTAGTGTGGCGGTAGGTGGTCTGCCCTAGGCATTCCTGGGAGATTCTCTGCAAGCATACCATGGGGTATTCCCTCTGGTGGGAGAGTTCGAGTTGGAGGAGGAATCCCTGGGCCAGGAAGCATCTGTTGTGGCATCATCATGAAGGGAGTCTGTGATGAACGTTTCATGTCATGTGTGGGTGATGGCAGCAGATGGGATGGGCCCATACGATTGTGTGAATGTCCAGGTAAAATATTACCATTTGAGCTAAGTGGACTCAAACCATCATGATCACTGTTAGGCGTTTTGTCCCCCATGTCACCGTGGTCAGAGTGATTGGGGGTGCCAATATTGTGTGATAAGCTGATACTGTTAGGAACACAGTTGTTGAAGCCATGTGATGGCGACTGAGACTGGGATGACGATTCTTGATTTTTCTTCATTTTGTCTTTGATTCGATTTTGTGCTATCTTTGACTGGAGAATATTCATAGTTCTTGAACTACGCTCTTTGCCTTTCTCCTTACCTTTCACAATATCAAACTTTGGTTTTATTTTTTCTAGTTTCTCAGCCAGTTCTGGGTAAAGCTTTGCTATTGATGAAACACCCCCTTGATCAACACCTCCTCCAGGAGATTTGCCCCCACTAGAGTTGGGTGTTGTCACTGCAAGTGTCTCTACATTGGCTGAGGATGACAAGGGACTGCTGTTGACCTTTGTTGCAGATTCATTACCAGTATCAGGGAAGGCATATGGATCCTCAGGGTCATCTAAACCAGAATTGTCTTTGTTCATGTGCAGTTTTGACATATGAAGTCTTCGATTTTCAAACCTCGGTTTGACACGATTTTTATTAAACACAGTTTTGTTTTCAAGAGGTACTGGAGTTAATGTAATCTCGTTAACAACTGGTTTTTCTGTCTCCTTTTCTTTCTCTTTTTCTTTTTTCTTCCTTTCCTTCCTTGGAAGCATACCAAGTACCTGCATGTGATTGTTACAATACCTGAAAAAACAAAGAGAGAACATTGAAATGAGTATTGAGTTCCTCCTAGTATTTATTCTATATTATCTAGTAGTTTTAGCACTGAGGGTATAAATCATTCTTGTAAAATAAAGAAAGGCAAAAATTTAGAATAAGATACTGAATCTACAGCCAAATATTGTACTAAACTTGGGACTCATGGCCAGTGATGCTAAGGGCCTAAATTGACACCTATAACTCTATAATTAAATTGATGTATCTAATACTTCGAAAAAAATGTCAAGTACATTTGTATATTCTAAATAAATACTTCAAAGAAAAAAGGTTCTGTTCATGATAAATATATACTTGTAAACCTAACAGTGACCGAAGAAAATAGCTGTCAAACCAGTGCACTCAGATCAGATACCATAGACCAGCATGTTTAACATTTTTCTTTTTGTTCAATACAGAAACCTTATTCTACATATCATCTAATACTTTTTACTTTTGGTATAAAATAAGCTTGAAATTTCAAAATTTCTTCTTCCCCCCCTCCCCCCTTAGAAATGAAAGGAAATCTACATTTTCCTACTCCTACTATATATTGCAAGGTGGTGTATGGACCTAAGAAAATTTAAGAGGAAAAAAAACATGTTTTGAATTTATTCAACACTCACGGTCTGTCTTCATGTTCAGGTATTGCCTGTGTGCAGTTCTGCTTGCTAGACTTGGCCATATAGGCACATCTCTTGAAGGGAGCTGTTGGGTCCTCCAGGATGTGTCGTACACAGAAAGCATAGCCATTGAGTCGATGCTGGTTACAGACCTTAGAACTAAATGAGCACAAGGGCTTCTTGTCCGATGAGGAATAGTGGATATTTTTCCCCTCATACATCTCCAAAAAGGAGCAGTGTACAGGACACTGACAAACCTGCAAAGTAAAAAAACAGGATATGTTTACTTCTTTACATCAAAACTTTAAAGCTCCCAAGTTACCATGTGTACAAGTAATTAACTTCTGATTTACTTCAAAACCATAGTGCAGGCAACTGTGTTTCATATATATATGTGTGCCATGCTGTTAATGATAGTGTATTTATCATAGATTTGAAATTTATGAGAAGTATACACACTCAAATTTATGAAAAGTCATACTTCTTTCATCTGATCTCTGTAAGAAATCATAATGGTCTATTCATTTACTTTTTTGATAATACTACAATAAACTTAGTGAATCAATATTTGACATCATTCACTATTTTTGTTTTGGTTTTGTTTTTTCACAAATTATACATACATATTATTCTATGTTATATGTGATTTTCATCACACCGCAATAGTTAAAAATTACAAATGTATTAATCCTAAGTCAGTATACCCTCCTTGGGAAAACATAACAATTTACAGCAGTTTAGCTTTGATGCGTTCACTACACAATAATTAAAACTATTTACCTTCACAACATACTGCATGGACAACATTATTAATTCAATTGTTAACATCACTACCATAACAGCTTTTCAATGTCACATGATACAAACTTGCATTACAAAGTAATTTACACATATACGTGCCTTCAACTTACATATTTCTAGCACATCAAAGTAAGTATATAAAATTTAGCTTCCTCTCATTTACAATATTGCACAGAAAATAACTTGATTTAAACGACAGTAATTGCATACTTAATTAATCATGTTTTATAGCTGTTTGAAAATGATATTTCCTTATAAATGTAGCTCTATAAGATTAGCCCTCGGGCCTTTTCATTGTAATAAACTAATGTGTACGTTATGATGGCATGAAATTGAATTGAATTTTTATTATGTAATTAGTATTGGGTCTAAACAATGGAAAATACATTAAACCCATATAAAAATCTTTGCTTAAATTTCACCCAGAATACAAGATCCACTGGTTCTAAATACTTAATCAGCTGTGTTTATTTGAATATGGCCACAACATTCATACCAGTGTCTATCGAAGTATTTAGAAATAGGACACTAAAACAGCTATAGTTCAAAAAGTCTTCTATACTTCTGACCTTTAGGTATCTAGATCCACGTTATTTTTGGCATAGTTGTACTATAACGTAATCTAACCCTCATAAGCAAGTATAAAAAACTATCTCAAAAATATTTTGCTAAAATGGTTTGTCTAATGGAGTACCTACACTCTAATATTTTGATGCTGAAAGCAGAAACCAATAATAATTTTGTTTGGCCTAATTCAATTTAATTTTCCTTAGAGGAAAATAATTATCAATAAATCCATTAAGGAAGTTTTTGAAGTGTATTAACTCATTTATGTATATAAATTACTATTCAACATTCAGATTCTACCAACAATCAGGCCGAATTATTAATCTATAAAATTAATCAAGACAGAAATGGAAATGGAAATGAATTAAATTTGGCACTCCTTGCACTGGCTGTGTTGAATAGTGACTAATCTATAATGATAACTGGAATGATGTACACACTTCATTCACCACAGGTGGAGTAATTTATTATCCTAACGTAACACCAACATAACTGACTAATAATGATTGTTTATTACTGTAACCAGATACCAATAACTTAATGGGTCATATCCATCTAAGAACAAGCTATTGCGGATAAATGATGAGTGGCCCTCAGACACCATTTTTCCTTATATAGTACCTCATATTTGGATTACTTTCTAAATTAATACAGAGGCAGGAGGATAAAACTTTTTTTTTTTTTTTACTTTTCTGCTTCGAAACATCAGCTGTATGTCACAATGAGATACAACGACCATTATTTTGAAAAGACATAACAAAAATAAGATTTTAAGTCACTTTGCATCTGTAGATGTTCTGGAGCAAGTGAGTGTTTACTCTGTATTCAGGAAAGTTCCTGGGAGCTGAGAGTAATAGGTCAGAATTATACCGACATGGATGGTGGAGTCCATAAAATTGAGAAAATAAATATATTCATTTCATATGAAACATTTATGCACTTTTCAGAAAGGAATGCTTTCATTTTGAAATATACAATACCAAGTCTATGTAATTCAGTTTTCTTTGGCTTGTTAACATGATTTGATGTAAACATTAAATGACAGTCAGCGTCTGGTGTAGGATCATATATTTCATAGGTGAACAGTGATACAATGTATATATGTCAATGCAACTTGTATCAGCCTACAAGGACATGTTGGGTGTGTATTATCAAGGATTAATCTAGGCCTGTTTTATTACCGGTAATCGGTAGTTCCCCTGTTGCTTAAATTCCCCTCCCGCTGAAAATTCCCCTCTGAGCTTTAAAATTTCACCTGTTTTTACTGAAATAATACTGTTGTTCATGCTGTAAATTCCCCTACTTAAAAAGATACATCACAGTAGTTGTAGTGTCTTAAATATTAAATGTCAAAAAGACGAAAGACCAGAACGGTTCAGCAAAAAGTGACCTAGCTCCAAGTTATCGACTATACATGCTTCCGCGGCACGATAATCCAAATCACTTTTGTGTTAATTATAAGCGTTCAGAATACCATAATATTTACAATGCTTGATTGACAGTAATCACATTTTAAACATGTCGCACAAGGACGGGTTCTATTTTAAAAAACTGTCAAAAAGAGATGCTTCTGGTACAAGAAAACTCACAGATATGTATTCCAAAAAACCAAAAATTGGAACAAATCACGAGGCCAGGGATTTGCCGAAGTCTGATGAGGAACCATCAAGTAATAGTAGTAAAAGCGTGTTACAATCGTCAGGTATGTGGATATTTACCAGCAAGAAAAATGAAACCAAATATCAGTGGCTATACTAAAGTTTCCCGGCACAAGGCTACATATGTAAAATATGCAGACTTGGAAAAAATGGAGGACATTTTCAAAAATAAAAAGGAAAGGAGGCTTGATCTGTAATTTCAACGAAACAAAGAATAAAAAATGTTTAAGAAAATTAAAGCTTACTTTTAAAAAAAAAACTATGGATTTCTGATATTTTCCATTTTTTTAAAAGCAGGCAGGATGGCCAGTCTGACAGTGGTAAAAAGCTTCAAATTGTTTTCATGCGGCCCCTTGGAACCCCGGCTATTTTCCCCTAGACACAGAAAAGGGTATCTCCCCTACATCCTAGATTAATCCCTGATTATAATGCTTGTCAGTAAGGTTGTTTATAGACCACTCACAGTATATATTCAACAATTATTTTCATCAACAAATAAGAGTGTGGTCTAAATCTATGAACATGTATATATACTAGTGATGGGAAATGATTCCAATCATCAATGATGATCAAATACACACAAGCGATTGATATTTAACTGAGATAGGCTGCAGTGCTATTTCTTCCTTTGCTTAAAAATATATGAAAATGTGAGGTCAACCTATTATATGAATTTGTATTTCTATGTGTGAAATACCATGTAGTTTAATAAAATAACTTTAAACAAAATATTACAAATGACCTATGTAAAACAAAAAGGCTATGGGAAGTCATTTCTTTACCTTACTAATTTATTGTCTTTCCAATTTTGGCATCAATAAATTGGCTTCATGATGATAAATTTTGAATTATGTTATCAGCCCATCACTAGTACATACCCTACATTAAATTTCACTTGGTCTCAATAGTTGAGTAATGATTTAAATCATTTATATTCATTACATACTACTGTACAGGAAAATTCTAGGAGCCTGTTGAAACAAATGGCCATTTTCATCATTTTCGTTTCTTTGGTCCATGTCAAAAATAGTTTGGACCACCATATTGGAAATGAAAAAAATGGGAGGGGGGATAGTGGTGGAGTCTTTTCTAGTTATGAGGGCCTAGGGACCTTGACCCTCTCTAGGATTATCCCTGATATTAATCCCTGATTCTGAAATTAAATAAAAATGCTGTAGAATTGGATGTGTAGTTAATACATACAATGTCTGAATCAATTTTGACAAGATCTGCTAGTACAATAGTTATTTGATACACAAAACATACAGTAAGATTTCTTCATCATCATCATCTCATGCCATACATATTACTGTCATGAACCATTTATACATATTGCAACACGACACAGATTTTGTAACTACAAATATGAAAGGATGAAAAAGGATGAATCAGGTCATTTTCTCAGTTTGATATGTAACAAAATACTAAAAGTTTTCATCATCCTTAAGCTGAAGTACCAATATAATCAAGCACCAAGATCATTTTCAAGGTTTCATGGAGAGACAAAATGGGGTGTATGATGAAACCATAAAGCTAAGATCTGGTTTATACTGCTTCAAAACATTATTTTATAAAGCATAAAGTTATTATACAACATGCAATAAATCAAGTCACAAAATTATATTATTGCAATTGGATGATTAGAGGTATATCAATGTGACATCTGAACCAAAGTAGTCTCCAAATAGCAAACATATAGTATAGGTCTAACATATCCACCTAAAAATCAATAATTCATGTACAAAATATTGTGAAATTTAAGCATTTACTTTCATGAAAAGATGCTGAGTAAATGTTATGTGCATATCTGACAACAGTCTATATATGTAGCGTATTTTGTCTTCAATTGATTTCTTTAGTTACGATATATTGACTGATTTTCTCAAAATACAAATTTATGTTGACATACTGTATGTATACATCAAATGAAAGTCAAGTGTCGAATTGGAAGTTATAAAGAACAAGTCTAAGGACGAAAAAGTAGCTTTATAAACTAAATGTGAACACATTGATAAACTGACCACCGCAAGAAGTCTTTCCCGATAAAAAAATAAGTTATATTTGATCATTATTTTTAACAAATTAATTTGTTGCATAATGAAATTGCATTTTCATTGAAACTGGGGGTACAAGCGGAAGTGTCAAAACTAGTGTAAACAATCCGATAATATGATAATTTTACACGAAACTAGTCG